TTCAGAAAACACTCCACCCCTTGATAACCTACGTAGAAGAGTGAATTTTATCTCCCTTCATGCTCCTTCAAGATATTAAGAAATTACTATTAGCCAGCTCCAGCTGTCCTTCCCCTCCACGTGACACATCAAGCAGCTCAGAGCTTCAGTGTCTCTCTCTGGCTTTCTGGTTGTGCTTTATGCAGCAGACAGGCCTCATGGCTTCTATCTGATGGAATGGGAATGGGCCTGGCAAGCATTCTCCCCAGCGAGCTGGAGCCCGCAGCCCCCAGCACAGCTCTCTCCTTGCTTCTGTACCACACTCACTGTAACTCCCGCAGCTTGTTGTCAGAACTAATTAAGAGTATTGCTAACAGCAAAAAAGGAAAAAAAAAAAGTCCTAAGAAATCACATTTGAGCCAAAAGCTGGGGGACAGTTACACTACTGCCTCTGCTGCCTCCTCACAGAGGGCTGATTTTTGGGGGCCCCTCATTGTGGCCAAAGCTGCTATCAGTCTGCCTAAAGCTACAGTTTCAGAGTTGATGGAAAACACAGCTCAGAGATCCTTAATCTGATGTAACATGATTTATTTAAGTTCGTCTCTCACTTTCTGACAGTGCATCAAGACATCAGCAGCCATGGTTTTTTTTCCCACCTAAGTTCCCACCAGTTCACTTCTTCTCACATCCCTTCCAGTACATTAACCAACAACAACTTTGAAGACTTATAGAGTCCCTCCAAAAATTACTTCTTAGGATGCAGGCTGACAGAAAGCCTTGGATGACCCGAACTCTTTGCGCCACCAAGGCCTGCAGCCCCCTTGACCGCATTCTGCATCACAGTCATGCTGGTACCGACACTCTTGGGGACAGTGATCCAGCTGAGAACCATTCCTAGCACAACCAAATGAGAAAGTAAATTAATAGCGGTCCAGGAGCAGCACTGCCAAATGGCAATGGGCCATGGGGAGCATAGACACAGCCACATTCAGTCAAGTGTAAGACTGAACTAATCGTGAAACAGCATTTTTTGGAATTCCCAAAGATGGCACCCCATGGCAAGCACAGCACCAAGCAGAGATTACTCTTCAGACACTTCATCAACTGCTTTTACCACATACTCATTCAGAGCCTGGTCCAGAGCTCCCAGTCACCCGGAGCAGAGAAGCACACCAGGCTCAGCCCAAAGCCTCTGGCATTCCCACTTCCCTGCACACCATGTCCTTTCAGCTCCATTGCAAAGGTCTAAGCTCACCCAACCCCACCACCAAAACACAAGCCTCAAAGACAAATGTATCTAAGAGGGATTCCTAGAAATACTTTTTCTCCTTTTTGTGCTGCTTTGAGACAGCAGAGAGCTTCATCCTACACTGAGGTGAGATGTAGATCTGAGAGTGGTTTTGCATACCAATTCCGTAACCAAATTTAACAGTTTCATCATGCACATAAAGAAAGGCAAGGGAAACAGTTAGAGCAAACTAATGTGTACAAGATATTTGAACACTGAGCAAAGCTGCCGTACCACAACGCCTTACAGCCCAACCAACAGCTGCAAATAGTCTGATTTACTAATTTCACCAAATTTCCATGCTCCTCCTCTATCTCCTGATTCAGGCTGGAAGGATCCTCCACAGGACAGCACAGATTTAGAACTCTTCCTATTGAAATTCTGAAGTCCTTTCCCCCTGCTGCCCTATTTATCTAAATTATATTTTTCAGAGCTGGAAAGGACACAAGTTGGAAAACAAAAGCCTTTCTTATTTCTGCTCCCTAATATTCCTGAGTCCTCTGCATAATCATTCAGTTTTGATAACCCCCTTTTATACGCCATACTGAACAATAGCAAAAATAAGAAAGGCTACAAAGAACAACAAATCAAATTAAGGGTTCTGCTATTCATTGAGGGTACATGAAACAAAGGAGGACTAGCACTATCCAAGAAATCAGACCTCCTCTCCAAGGCATTTTTAAATTGCTCTCTAAGTAATTTGAAGCAGATTTTGCTAGTAGGACTGGAGGGAGAATGCAGGCTTCGTATAAAGGGCCTCAGCAAGACCCGATAGGTGAATGATGGTCTCTGCACCATATTGGGCAAACTCTGATTATCTAAATCTTAGTTAATCAAAAGCAGTTACGTGAAAGTCAAAAATGCCCTCCAAGCCAGAAAGCTCAGTGAGATCAGGACTAACAAAGCACGTAGAAAGCCTGAACTCCCCAGGACCATGAGTGCAGACTGAATTTTAAGCAGGATAACAGGAGGAGAGGGTTTTAACAGTATCCCAGCCTCCCAACCCAAGGGCAGGTTTCAGAGCCTGCTAAAAGATTACCTTTGCAATTACTTGGACATTTTTGGTGTCTCCTTGCACCCTCAGATTACAGAATACTCAGACTGCAGTTCCACTTTGGCATTTACAAACTGACGACTCTGGGAGAAAGTCTCCATTACAGGCAGAGCTGGTAGTGCCACCTACTATTAAGGCTGCTGATACTTCCCATTACAAGACCCTGCTTTCAGTTCTTCACAGCTCTGAAAAAACATCCAAACTCTTACTCGGGCTATCTGCATTTCTATTTCATCTCTATATATATGAGGCTCACTAACATTTGGTTTTGCTTATCTCTTACATTCTATTAAGCTCGTTGCTAGCAAAGCTACACACAATGGTCCAAAAAAAAAAAAAAAAAAAAAAAGCTAAAATTATATAAAAAAAAAATAATCCAGCATACACAGTCTGTAGCAAAGGGAAGAACAAATCTGTTCTTTGCATTTATCATGGAAAGAACAAACGTGGACAAAGTTCAATATGAAATATTAGGAAAGATTTAGTAACGCGTGGAAAACAAAGGACTTGGACTGTCAGGGCAGGCAACAGCACCACAAATGTTTTAAGGCAGGCTGCTCAAGCCCTCCACAGCAACGGTTTATGTGCCATCAGTTCTATCAGGAAATAGGAACGCTCCTGAGGACTACTGGCAGTGCCACTCACGTCTCATTTTCTGTGATTTCATGCTCTAGTTCAGGCCTCATCCACAGCTTACAGGAGCACAGGCCATGCCAGATGTCTGGAGACCAGCAACAGCAGAAGGATGACCCGTCTCCTGCACTTTCAACTATCCCCTTTGTAGGGATCATGTAGCATCGCACAGCAGTTACCCACTGCAAATACAAACAAATAATGATCTAGAGATATAGAAGAAGGAAAGTAAGTTGGGACTAGGAGCCTGAGAGCCAAGAGGACATACAGTTACATGGGAAGAAAGAGATAAGTTTGACTGCAGTAGGAGCAGGAAAGGATGGACTTGGACGGGACAAGCTATTGACTGGAGCTCATGCAGAATCAGTGAAAAGATCCATCTCACCTCAGCCATTCATGCCAGGGTCACATAAGGATGGAAGAGAAAACATGCCTATTTGTGCATGCCTAACATTGCGAAAAGTCACCATTCCTCTGCTGTCAGCAAATCTATAAAACCAACTGGCAAACACACATCAAGCCGGTCTGTACAGAAAACGACAGCTAATTACACATTCAGGGTAAGTGGCAGAGGTCTGTGGGATGCATCTGGATCGGCCAACCCTGCTACTGATACTGGCAGAGGTCATCGCGGTGCCACATGGACTGGAGCTGGGGGGATGGGAGGAAGGCTGTCTGGTTTTTCTTTCCTTTTTTTTTTTTGTGGAAAAAAATAGCAGGCACTCATGTGATTAAAGACCATCAGAAATAGGCACAGAAATACAGAGAGCAAACAAAGGTTTCCTTCCTAACTTAAAATATGGAAATGCCCTAGAACTGAAGTGCCTTCCCATTACCATCTCGATACTCTCAATTCAGTTAATGAATAATGTTGCTGAATCGTATCAACAGACAGTTTTGCAAAGCAATATAAATAAATCCATCAGATATTTTAAACAAATCACGCTGCTGAACAGACCCTGCGTTTGTCCTATTTTCTCTTCTATATGCAAAGCACACTACTTTTACACGGCTTTCATTTGATCATTAATTGCTCTCGCTTCTGGGAACCCTACAAAAGCAGCCTATCCACTGCAAAAACCATCCCACATGGCACAGCATCACAAAGCACTCCGTAGCAGCAAACTAAAATGCATTTGGGAGGAACGTTAACATCTTTCTACTCAGATTCCAGGAAGAAGAGGATCTGACTACATCCCTTCAAGTATTATTCAAGACCACACTGAGGCAAAATAACCACTTCCTCACGAGTATTTAGAGGAATGCCCTTTAGTGAATCCTGTGACTTTGCAGCTAGGAGGGAAATAGGTCAGGCATTCTACCTGAAGCAGTTAGTAAGCCCAGAACCAGAAAATAAAGAAAAACAAACAATAAAAAAAGATCACCTCCCCCCCCAACCCTCTTTGCACTGGTAATGGAGGGAATATTATAGTAAAATGATGGTCAATACTAATTAAATGCACCGCAGCCATCATAAATGAACAGCTTGCAGTGAAAGGCATTAGTGATATTAAGGGCTCCTTCCTTCTCCAGCCTCCAACTGAGGATATTTTGGGTAGCTCGCTGCAACCTTCTGCACTAATCTAGATACTTCACAAATTATCAGTTCCTAAGATAGCAGTAAAACAGCATTTCAAATTACATAGCTCTTCATCCGAGTAGGAAGGCATGCACTGAGGCAAACCCATGCCCCCTCCTGTCCCAGCTCCCAGGTATGTGGGATCAGCTTCCCAACCACTTGCAGAAGATACGCGCTGCGGAGCAGCGAGGTTTTTTCTAAGACGAGGACTGAAGGAAATGGCACTGCCGTATCAGGTTCCTTTTGCACTGCCATCCCTCCTAGGCAATGCTACATGCAACTTCTGCCATCCCGAGGCTGCCCTGTGAGTTTGCTTTTACTCCGGCACATCTGAAAGCGCTCAGGAAAGGTGACAAAGGGAAAAAGCCCTTAAGAATAAGCCTTTCTTCACCAGCAGTTAAATTCCTACTTATCCCAACAGTTATAGACACAATCCATAGGCCCACATCAAACAAACAAGTCCTTACATCAGGGCAAGCGAGCTGCAGGTCCATCCTTCAATCTCCGGGGGAGATTCTCCTGGAAAAGGGCCTGGCCAGGACTCCTCTCACACAAACCTCTGCTGCTGACATGGTGCCCGCAGCGCTAAACCGAGGTCCTACGACAAACAGCAGAAGGGAGGCAAGAACTAGGGGGTACACAGAGGCAGAAAGTCAGGTAACGCATAAACAAGCACCGCGTTCAGAACGGCAATGAAAGAAAAAGAGCATGAGGCCGTGGGATACAAGAAGAGCAATCCCCTTCAGACAGCTCATGCAGGGGGGACACCAAACCAAGGAGCAAATAGCAAATAAGCTGAGGGAGAGGGGGCTGCCATCCTCCAAGCAAGGAAAAGGGCTGGGGAATAGCGGTAGCTCCCAAGAGAATCCCTCAATGCGTGGAAAAAGCTCTTTCTTCACCACCACCCCCCTTTTTTTGAGGGAAGGGTGGGGAAAGGGGGAAGGAGGAGATGCTGGAGCATCCAGCTTGCTAGAGGGAAGGAGATCCCAAAGAAGCGATACGGGGACAGGAGGAGAGGCTGTCCTGGCACTTGGGCTCCCCTGCAGACAGTTCAAACAAAGGAGGATGATCTCCTACAACAGGATGCTTCGCACATTTGCGAGGTGGCTGTCATGATGGGCATCGTCTCTGGTCCCCAAATCCACCCCCACTGCCTGAGCCCAGAGCGAGCACAGACTACTGTCATGGGAGGTAGGGAGACAGGGGAAAAGAACAAGGCAGAGTAAAGAAAAGGAGATAGAGAGGCCTTTAATGAGTCAGCTGCTGCTCCGATTTAAATAAGATCTCCATTTATGGAGCTCTGTCATTTTTTCTTAGGTTTTTTTTTTTTGGTTTTTTTTTTATCATTGGCTGAACGAGCAACTTTGGGCCGTGCAAGGTTGTCTCTAGCTGCACATGGGGTCTGGGAGGGAAAGGGTTATGGAAGGGGGAAGGGATGAAAACCTCTGGAAAAAATGAGACTGCTCGCTGGTTCGTTTTAACAAGGACATAAATTAGTCTCAAAGCCACAAACGCCATCACCTCCCTGAGCCCTGGGCAGAGCACAGCGAGCGAAACACGTGCCAAGATAAACGGCTCTGGCTGGAGCCGCTGAGGGGTGCTGGGGGACAGGAGGGGGCACGCCGGCAGCAAAGGCACCTCGGATGGTGCCACAAAATGGAGCCCGGTGATCCCACAACCTCACAAAAGGGGACCTTCAGATGTTCCTGCCTACACCCACATCAAAAGGCAGCCACTCAAGGCGGAGAAGGAGGGAAACCGGGGTGCTGCAGGCTGGAAATAGCAGCTTTCCCCGCTCTGGCTTTAATTACGGCGAGTAGCCCTTCCTCCTCCTCCTCCTCTTCCCAGCTTGGAAGAAGGCCCGCGCGCAGGCAGCAGCCCAGGTGAAAGCTCCATCGCGGCAGCAGGGAGGGGAGCAGACAATGGCGGGGTGATTCATTACAAAGGCACACGGCCCTGCGCGCAGCGCTGCCACATGGGCTGTGGGACTCCCGACAGAGGCAGAGCTCCCCTCCCGCCCCCTGAGATGCTCAACACCTTCCCCCTCTCCCAGCTCTGATGGGAAACAGATTCGGAGGAAAACGCCAGCACGGCACTGGGCTGTCCAAGAAAGGGAGGGCTTTGTGCTCCGCGCAAGCCAGCAGCCTCGCCATGCACCACAAGGAGAAAAAGCCCTTAAACGTGGAATTCCCATCCACCCAAGAGTTTCTCTTTCATCTGCAATTAGCACATGTTGTACTGGGCTCCGTTTAACACTCATTTTCACCGATTTAGGATTAAGCGGGGGGGGGGAGGGGGGGGGTGAATCAGAGCAGGGTGCTTTCTGTTAATGAATCTGAGCTCTTGCTCTCAATTAGCTATTTAGGTTTCCTCTTCTTCCCTTCCAGCACCTCCCGTCTATCGCTATTTCCATTCTCCTCACCAGCTGCAATCTACCTTGTCTCACCATCCCCTCGTGCCTATACAAGAGCTCATCTCCCAGATTTCCAAAGGAAACGGGCAAGCTGCTCCCTAAAAAGCAACAGACAAGGCAGACAGCGGCGTCTGGAGATGGAACCAAGCAGAGCAAGGCACTGCTACAGCAATGCTGAATTCATTCAGCAGCTTCAGGTACCAGCAACGTGGACTTTTCATAAGCTAAATGGAGCCCCAAGGAAGCAAGTTCACAAGCTGTGAATGAGGCCACGCCACTGCAGCATGCTGTGGACGGGGACATCGCCCTCAAGATGCCACCGTCCCCCATGCAGCCCAGCACTGCGGTGCTCACCTAAACGAGCATCATCATCATCATCCCCAGAGCCCCAGCCAGGGGAAGCCCAAGCTCTGCTCCTTACTGTTGGGGTTTTCTCACACGTGCATCTTCCTCAACATCAGTGCATCACTATGCAGTGCAAACCCTGCAATCCTAGCCTGGGTACTGCATGCTCTTAAGACAGCTATAATGCAAGGTCAAGCAATGCGAACAACGTGCGGTCCACAAGGAATCTAAGATCCATTACAGTAGGAAAAGACCACTAAGGTCATCTAGCCCAATCGCATCCCAAAGCTCTAGGTGAATTTCCACTCGCCCTCCCGTTTCACCGAGTGCTCCAGCAGCACCCCATCCTCCCCAGCACCTCTTTCTCCAAATCAGGCAGCTCTGAGGTGCCAGCTCCCAGGCACACACTGACCGCACACGCTCAGCGCCATCCCGCACTGCATAACGGTGGTGGCAGGGAGCACCCTGCATATAAAGCTGTGCATAGCAACTCCAGAATGCGCCCATGGGCATCCCCCTCCATCCAGCCTGGCACAGCCCGAGCATGTAGCCACACACAAACGGACCCCGCCTGCGAAGAGACAGCTTTTCTCCCTCACTCACGGAAGTGAACATAGGTTCAGAGTGCCTCCGGAGATTTCTGCAGAGCTCTTCAGCCTCAAAACAGAAAGCCTCCGTCCAGATATAAAGGAATCAGTAATGGATGGGACGAAACAGCAGGAGCAGAGGTGGGGCTTGGGAGATACCTTACTACATAGGACAGAGACCCATTTTTCAGCCCCTGACAATGGAAGTGGGATGGGAGATGGAAGGGTCAGAGAGGGTGTCCCTCCCTGCAGCAGATTGCTCGGCCCCGTGCAGCGGGACATGCAGAGCTCGGTCAGGGCTGGCACAGAGGGACACAGCCGGGGGCAACGAGTGCAGCCAGGGCTACAGTGTGCATCTGGGTAGGAAAATGCAAAGCTCCGCAGGAAAGAGAGAAGAAAAAACCCGAACTGAAGAAAAGTTCCTTGTGAGAGCTCTTCCCTCCACCTCCCCTCAGGAATATCCCCCCAAGGTTCCCAGCTCTGCAAGGCACTGCGGGGCATTATATAATGCCCAACTCCAAAGGATTCCAGCTCTGCGATGCCGCTCTCCTCCTCCCTTTACCACCCCCCCCCCCCCCCCTCCGGTGGCGACTTGCAGATGCCATGCCAAAAATAACAAGTTTTTTTGTTGCTTTTTTTTTTTTTAAAAAAAAAAAAAAAAACCGACCCAAATCCCAAACCATGTAGCAGCCTTACAAGGCGAGCAGCGGGCGATGCACACCCCTCGACCGCCGGGCAGCTCTCGGTTCCGGGGGTGGCCGCTCACCTTTGTGCTCCCGGGTCCGGCGGCCGCAGCCCCGCTCTCCCTAGAGGGCAGTGCGGGACCCCCGCGCCAGGTGAGCGGCGGAGCGCCGGGGCTCTCTTGCACCCACCCCCCACCCCCCCGGGCTCCGGCAGAGCCCCGCGCTGCCCTCTCGCCTCCGAGACAAAGCCGGGCACGGCAGCCGCCCGCCAGCCTTACCTGAGTTACCATTTTCTTTTTCTCCATAAACCAAAATGGGGGAAACCCGACAACAAAAGAGGAAAAAGGGAAGGGAGAAGGGGAAAAAGGGGGGGGAGGGGGAAAGGGGGGGAAAGAGAGGGTTAGGAAAAAAAAAAAAAAAAAAAAAAAAACTGGGAAAAAAAAAAAAAGCAGCAGCAGCCCCGAGGAGGCAGGCAGGCGGGCGGGCGGCGGGTGCCTGCGCTGCACTGCCTTGCCGGCGCGGTGCCCCCCGAGCCCTTTTTCCTCCCTTTCTTCTCTCGTGTTCCTCCCTTTCTTCCCCCTTCCTCCCGCCGCCCCCCCCCGGCTCATCCAGATGGCTGCGGGAAGCACCGCCCCCGAATGCCGAAGGTAATTAATGCGAGCCAGGCCCGCCCCCGCCCCGCCCGCCTCGCCCCGCCCGGCCCTGCTCCGAAAGGGGTTCCGCGGCTCCGGGAGCTCCGGCCGCCCCCTGCCCGGCGGAGCGGCGCTACTCCGGGCCGGACGCCGCGGGGCGGAGGGGCGCGTCCCGGCGCGGGGTGCCGAGCTGTCAGCCCCGCACAAAGGGGAGCGGAGGGGGTGCGCGGCCCGGGTGCTGAACCGGAAGCAGTAGCAGAGCCGGGAGCTGCGTTTCGTTCGTGATAAAAACCGGAGGGCGCCGGGCTCCTTCCCAGCCTGCTTATTTCACCATTTCCGCACCTTCCCATTTATCTTCAGTGAGCATCTGGCCCTTACTACCTCCGCATCTGAGCTGCCCGCGGCTGGCAGCATTCCTTCCCTATAGAGTCCAGGAAGGGCCCACTGCTGGTGCCTCACAGAGCAGCCGGACCCCAGACACCCAGATTTCCCCAACATGCTACACAGAGATGCCAAGCATCGGGCACGGTTCCTCAGCCAGAGCAGAGTGCTGAGCTGAGCTGCCCTTCTTCTTAACCCCAGGCCCTCAAGGGGCTCCCCAGGCTTTTCCAGCAGAAAAGACACCGCAGTAACACCTTTCATCCTTGTTTGCCCTCCTTTGCATTTGTATCCCCTGTTATAACTTACACTTAGATATATACGCCTAGTGGTGATTCTTCACGGCCTTGCGTTGCTGTGCTGCTCCATGCTGCTTCCCAATCTGATGGCTGCAAACACACCTCTGCCTCCCTCCCTTCCTCCTGTTCAGCCAAAGGGCAGCAGGAGCACGCCTCGCAGCCCAGCTCCCTCCTTTGCTGTGAAAAGCCCGAGCAAGCTGCTGCCTCACTGCTCTGCTGAGATGCAGAGAGCCCCAGCGGGCAGCCCGCTGTGTGGTCCTCTGGGAGGCAGCCAGGCCCCACACGGCCCCATGGGGCTCTGACTCAGAGTCCATGTTCTCCTGAGTTATTTCATCCTCTCCACTAACTCACTTTTGAAGACGCTACAGGTTTGCAGGCTATATTGCACAACCGGGGAAAGTCTTGGATTTTTTTTTCTCCCTCTATTACAAACCTGAGATTCCACAGCGCAATTCTGGGTCAAAACACGGTGACCTCCTTATCCCTTCACCATGGCAAAGCTCTGAGTTTTAGCTACGTGCATCTCGTCTTCAGCCCTCTGTAAATCAATCAAACTTAATTCAACTTTAGCATTCACTCGGTTTCCACTGTGCCACAGGGTGGAAATTTCTTGTCACAGATGGAAGGGTATAGCACAGACCTTTAGAATCACAGAATCATTAAGGTTGGAAAAGACCTCACAGATCACCTGGTCCAACAGCCAGCCCATCCCCACCATGCCCACTGACCACATCCCTCAGTGCCACATCCACACGGCTCTGGAACACCTCCAGGGATGATGACTGCACCACCTCCCTGGGCAGCCTGTGCTACCGCAGCACTACTCCTGAGAAGTAATCTTTCCCAATATCCAACCTGCCATAGAGGTGTGCTACATTCATCCCATCTCTTTTCAGTGAAACAGCATCATTTTCTAATCCATTCTGGCCTCCACCTTAGGAACCCTCAGACATATCTGCCACAGAAGAGCCCTTTGCAGAAAGGAG